AACCTTATTTGGAATATCTTATTCATCTTATTTAGGTGAGCTAGGAGGCTGGGATCCATATTATGTGGGAGCCGTTGGTGTAGAAACTGTTACGAGGTGGCAAGTCAATATTAACCTCTACATTTTCAAACCTCAAATATCCTAGCTACATTTATAACCTCCCTTTCTTTAGATTAGGCTCCAAATGCAGTTGTCTTGGTGGACCAACAAGACAGCCTACATACTCTCACATCTTCTGTGTTTGTGCTTCACACAAGCCTCTGTTGGATCCCATACTCTCTCTCCCATTTTCTTTTTTTAAAATCACTCACTCACTACACCGGCTTCCACTGCTGGAACAGGAAAGCAGATATTTCAAACAAAATGTTTGTGTGAGGTTTCTCCTCCAAACTTAAAATATTGATCTTATACCATTAGGGTCTTTTTATATTTGCTCTATCAATACCTGACAGAAGGACTCTGTAGCAGCTAGTGAAAGGTGAGGTTTATTGTCGTATTGCAGTGCAGCTTTTGATGCAGGGGGGATAAAATGCTAATATTGGGCAGCTATTGATCTTAGTCAGCCACTAATATGTAAAACACACGAGGGAGCAGCACAGCATGGGTATAAGTATATGCAAATACAATGTGGCCATGCTCATCTGTGTTAGATTAGAGTATCTAGCTGCAATCTGATTGAAGCACTCCTTATCTTTTGCACACAGAGTGAAACACACTTATCACTGACACAGTGCTTTCATGGACACCAAACATTAGTGCATGATTAATACATTATCTATTGTCTCGTTCCTGTGCTATTCATTTGAGCTTTAATGAAATGTGCTTGATTGCATAACTGCCCTACAATCGAAGGTAATAATAGAAAGAGAGCAGACTAATGTGTAACCTAATCCTGCCATCTTATTTGGTTAATAACATGGATCTTGTTGCTTGAAGATAGAAATGTGATATTTATTATGAGTGAAAATGTAGAGTGCAAAGTGAAAGAGACAGTGTGTCATAAGTGGATTTAAATAATGTACTAATGTTAGCATTGTTATCAGGCAGGCAAATTATACTTTTTAATTTCAAAACAGTAGTTGCTGTTGCTAGGCAAACAGTCTGGACATTGTAACAAAGAAAATCATGCCAATATTTTAAGCTCAGCCCTCACAGGTGTTTCCAGTTATCTGATCAGACCTTTATCGGATTAGACCTCTGTTCAGATTTAAGACAGCTAGAGCTACACTGCAGGTAGACCTTTTTCATAGCAGACATTTTGACTTGTGGCAGGATGAAAGCACAGGTGTACTTAACATATATGAGGGCACTGCTCCATTTGGGTGATCCAGTTCTAGGACGCTTGTATTGTGCATTCTGGCTCACTGACATGACTTACTGAGACACTTACAGTGGAATGGAGCCCTCATTAAGGTGTTAACTTTGCACCTGTGTCTTTCCTGCTATGGCACTTCAAACGTCTACAGAAGGAATAGTTAGTTACAGAACCTAATGCACTAATACAAGATAAAAGCTTGTGTCAATCCCAGGCTTTACAGGCCCACAGTCTTGAGAGGAGGTCTAATCAAGCATAGTAAGTGAAAGCATCTGTGTGGGTGGACCATGGGGAAGCTCTAATAGTGTGGAGAGGGAGCGTTTACTTGTCAAGGAGACACAATCAGCTGGTTAGCGAAGGCTGGGGCTGTATTTATTTATTATTATCATTTTAAATGCAGTGTTGCCCTGCTATTAAACCGAGAAGCTCGCCTGCTCACAGCTCTAGTGCAATGCAGGTTGTCACCAGTAGATGGCAGTATCCAGTGGAAAATGGTCTGACTGGAGCGGCTGCGTAGCAACAAGTAAGGTAACGTTAGCACAGTTCCAGCAATAGAGAGGTGCTTTGCCGGTGTTTATCCATCCTCTGGTCCTGTTTTATAGGTAAGAAAGTGTACACAAACCTCCAACACACGTTTATTTTATGTCAACGTTCTGCTCCATATTTCATACGCAACAGGATATTTGGAAAAACGAGATAAACTAAGTGAAGCTAACTTGCTAAGCTAGCTGGCGTTTTGTGAAGCAAACAACTAATCAATTAAAGCGAGAAAAAAAATCGACAAATTTAGCAATAATTGTTAATTAAATAGTTAATTCAATATTTGTTAGTGTTATAATGTACAGTAGCTTAATATCAAAAGTTTTAAACTGATTAAATGCATAGAAATAGACTGTAAAGTCACAAGTAAAGGGTCCTGTAAATTACATGTACTAACGTTAGTTATAAACAGAAACGGACCAAATATGGTTTTCATATGCAATACCTTTATTCAGGGTTCCCACACTTAAACTGGGATATTTGGATACTAGTTTTCCAGTCAGTAAAATGACCTGGAAGTATCCTGGAAGTAATCTGTGTCGTCCAGGAAATCTGTAACAGAATTCTTGCCCCTCATTCAGATAGTCTTGGACTGTAACTGGGCTGTTGCTAGTGGTACAATAAGCTGTGGGGTATGACACTTTAAACCAAAAATGTGGGTCCCATGTCAGTCAAGAGCTGTTGACACCAGAGGCGGAACAAAACAGACTTGCAGCAAACTTCCTAACTGTTATTTACGGGCTGTGGCCAAATTGATGTTACAGACTGCAGCTCCACTCCGCTGGGACCACGGGGAAGGAAAATTGGCTGTGGTGAGGAGCAGCCAAGCGTGCCACAAAGACGTGTCCCATAAAGGCTGACCACCAGTTGAGAGCAAGTGATATCCTGTATTGTCGAGAAGAACTAGTGAAAATGTCCTGGAAAGGTCTTAAAGAAAGTGGGAACCATTTTATTATTATGTATACAAACAGTTAGTTGTACTCCCAAACTCTGATTATAGATTTAGTTGTTTTGGCCCCGCAGAGCCTTTCAGCTAAGAAAATAACTGCAGTATGTTGCTGTGAGGGAAAATGCAGTTTGTGTATACGTTCACGTACTCCACTACATCAGACAGCAGTGCCTGCAAAATATCGATTGACAACAGAATATGTACTTGTCATAGCCCTGATCAATAAATCAGCAAGGCCATGAAGAAAATCCTTATAATTTATATCACATCAGCCGGTTGTCCTTGGGTCTGTCTGTCAACCAGAGTCAATGAGTTCTGTCAAAGACCTGCTTAGGAAATATAATATATGGCTAAACTTGAGTTGTTTTTATGGCATTGGTCTTTTTTTTCCCCCCCGTACTTTCTATTGTTGTAGATGCTGAGCAGCTATGTTGGTGAAGAGATTAACACCACGAGAGCAAAAGACTCAGAGCTCTCATCTGCTTCACAGATGAATCTCAACCCAGTTTCTTTATTAAAGGAGATGAAGCTAGGCATACCATGCAAAACTGCGCCAGTTGAAAGGCTTCCTTCGTCTCTGTCTTTCTCGCCTTTCTGTCTCTTGTCGCTCTTGCCTGTCTGTCTCTCTCACTCTCATAATTCTAAAGCGTGTGGAACTGATTCTGAGTCACATAATTTAATCAACACCAGGATGAAAAACCTGTCTCTAAAGAAGCTTTGCTAAGTGGAAAACTCTGTGTGCTTGACCTGCTCCCGTCCTACGGCGTGAGCGTAAGCTGATCAGACGGATGCCGTAAGCGGTAGCTGTAGCTCCCGTGTGTTTGTGCAGTAATGTGTCTGTTCACTTCTGACTTAGTCTAATGGGATGATGATGAGGCTACCTGGAATATGAAGCAGCCAGTCACTAAGATAAAATGATCAAAGAGACACAGCTGACAGGGTCGTGACACCTCCTTAAATAAACGTGCGCATTATGTGCATTTTGCCCACTCGTGTCCGGTGTACAGGAGCTCTAATTCCACAATAATTTAAATGAGGTTATTAAAACATTTATGACAAAAATTTGAAAGTGCAATGTATGAATAATATACATCTCATTAGACGGAATATTCGCAGTGAAACTCTGCATTAAAGAGCCTGTGGAAGCACACTTTTTATATTCTGTTTCTGAGATGTGATGAAAACCTCCAGTTTCAAAGTTGCTACCAGAGGCACAAACACATTGGAGCCAGCGATATAAAATAATCAGGACTTGTCTCCTCATTTCTCTGTATACCATATCTTTTTGTGCTTTCTTAGTTTGTTGTGCCATTTATCAAGTTTGGCTATTACATATAGCACGCTGTGTATGATGAAACACATTGTCTGCTCTTAGCAGCGAGAGTGGGAATGCACTGTACCATCAAAACAGCACACTGTGACCCACATATTGCACTCATTAGCCTCTAGCTGAACTGCACACACAAACAGCACAGCTCACAAGAGCTGCACCAACAGGTGATCTTGATCCACTGCAACAGAAATATTGCAATATGTGTTTTGAGATTAGACATAAGGAATGTATTTTCTTCCTGTATACAACAGGAAGAGAGAAATACCTGAGATGATGATAATAATAAGCTTTGGTTGACAAAACACATCTGTAGTGAAACTCTTGGATTATGCTCTGCGTTGATAGATGTAGTCACAGTGTCTCTGTAACAGTAACCCATGTGTTGGAATTGATGGATTGCATTTCCCTTGTGAAAAAGCATATGTATTGCTTTTCTGAGATTTATGTCATGTCGTCATTGGAGATGCAGAAGAATCCAATTTATGCCTGTCTTGGTTGTTTTCTATTTATCCTTTGTTCACCTGACATCCACAGAATGATTGAGGTGAAAAAAAAGTGCAGAGAATGCGGTAGTCATCGTCTCCAGTGGCATTTCTAATTAAGTTAAGAGTTTTCATGTTGCTGAACAAAACAGTTACTTGCACGAGTTGAAAAGCAATTCTCTTCACATAGATGAAGAGCCCATTCAACAAAAATCCACTCTCTTCTGCCTACTTCATCCCTTGTTCTAGGGGGCTTTTTTTGGATATCATTATTTAAACTTCATCCATTATCAAGTGAACAAGTTTTCGTTTTTTTTCCAAGAGCCTCTTTGGTCTTCTTTGCAGTCACAACTGATCGTGTGATTCTTTTCTCCCTTCTAGATGTGCACTGCCCATCAAGACGATGGATGTCACGTGGTCACTCCTACGAAGAGCAAACTGTGTGGAACCCAAAGTACTGTGTGGTTGGTGAATGTCAGATGCTGCTTCTGAATGAGGAGGAGGTGGTGAGATCAGACATTACAATCTCTTGTCTGTCATGTCCTTCTGTGTCACCATTGTCTTTCTCGTCTGTGCCTGTACTTTTCTTTTTGTAATTCTTTTTGTCCTTGTCAGTTTAATTTTATTGTACTTGCCAATTTCTCCCCATAGCCAGCTATATATTTTTTATAACTTCTTAGTTATAGTTTAATAGTAAAATAAAAATAGCAAAATAAAAGGATGGATTAACTTCAATTCATGCTAATATTATTATTTTTGTCACATATTATTTGGATAGTGCATTGCTAATGACTTCAATGACAGTTTAAGTGCAAACTGAGTTTCAGGCACAATTCAATGAAACTGCTTATCACTGAGAGGCAGTGAAAATCAGTCCACATATCCAGTGACCAGACTGGTAAAAAATGAAAGCTAATTATTACAGCTAGACTGCTAAATCAACCAGATGATCCAGTATTATCTTATTGTAGAAATATTGGTATCAGTATATCTCCGTCATAAGATTACACACCAGAAAAACATATCTAAACGACCCGTGTTAAGATTGTTGTTAAAAGAAATGAAACAACAGTATTGGCCATTTTAAACTCCCAATACCAATATTAGTAACGGCATTAAAGATACAGTATCAGTCGGGCTATAATAATTATAATAATAATAATAATAATAATAATAATAACTAGCTATTGAGAAACACAAGCTCCTGAGTGAATCTTGTGTTGTGTGAGAATTAATTCTACATTTAAATTCATCCCACATCGGAGACCAACAATACCCAGGTTATGCAGAGGAAGCCGAGTCTGGCTCTTTGCCTCTGTTGTTTTGATTAGTGTCACACTGGATTCACATGAGATCAGAGGCCCTGTTGTTAGGAACAAATCAGGAGTCAGCAGGGTAATCTAAATTACATTGTTCAGTCTGCACTATCCTGTCCTGTTTAACAGCTTTCTGTGCACTCACTTTACAGAGACTTACAACATGATATAAACATAATACCGCAATACGACTGCGTTACAATTTGATGCAGTAATGTTGAATTATTGCCTAGCCCTGCTACTCTCCATTAATACTTTAATACGGTCAAAATATGCTGACCCTACAGTGCCGAAGATGAGGGATGTGCAGTGTATCAGTCACAAAATGTACTGTGGTTTTGTTGAAGTACCGGATTGCACCACATGGCCTAGCTCTCTCTCTATGTACAGCCTTGCATTTTGTATTTCAGAATCTTTTCGTTATTAATCAATTATTCATTAATGTGGCTGATGATTGATCATTGCTTAAAAATTTCCCTCATGCAGACTGTACGTGACTGACCTATACCTTGCTTAGTCACTTTGTGTAATTCCTTCATTACCCTTGCGCAACTTTCCATTCAGTCCATTCATTCCACAGCTGCTTACAAAAGTGTCTGCCATTTCTGCATGCTCCTCCTGCCCTGGATGCCAATAACTCACATTAGTGTGTGTGTGGCTGAGTCTGCAAGCACACATGAATGGCACAAAAATTATATTTAATATTCTATTGCAAGAGCTGATGTGTAAGGTAAAAAAGTCCAACGAGGGATTCACATGATGAGAAGTTCCAGCTAATGCTACTATCGGAGAACCGTCAGCAACAAATTAAATTATAGCTTCCTTGAGGAATTTCTCAAAGCCCTCTTCTATAATGTCTGTGGTCTCAGCACAGCAATAGGGAAAGGACACGCCCCCCTCTCAGGGAATATAGTATCTTTTAAGACACTTTTAAGAACACTTAAGACATGAAGGCTCTGTTTCAAAGTCGCAAGAGCACCCAGACAAAGCATAGTTTAGAATTTTTATATGACTGCTGGAGCTGGGGAGAAAAGTGTTTCTTTGTCTGCAAGTACTGAGGTATGCAATGTTGAAATAGAGCGAGCAATAATTGCAGAGAGACATGATTTGAATCGACCCATTGGCAGCTTTTCCACCACAGTGCTTTTTGTTTCATAGCAGCAAAGAACAACAGCTTTTAAATTAATCCATCTGGAGACCCAGACTCTGAAAGGTCATCTGTAACGCTGCTGGATTGCAATGTCAGCAGACGGCAGGTCAAAACGATGATACAGTCGTATAATGGCTTGCTCCAGATGAAGGTGTCATGGCATGGTTTAGACAGATAAACACAATGGATCAGAGCATCCACAATAAACACACTTCTAAGAGACATGTCTGTCTTTATATATATGTATATATGTATATATGGGCTTTTTGCCTTTATTAGATAGGACAGCTGAAGCTTGACAGGAAAGGTGGGAGAGAGAAGAGGTGATACGTAGCAAAGGGCCACAGGTCGGATTTAAACTCATGGCCGCTGGAGCAAGGACTCAGCCTTTGGTACATGGGGTGCCAGCTCTATACCAGGTGAGCCATGGATGTTTGTTATGGCAGTATTAGGTTTTCTGTTATTCCAGCAACTCGCCTACATTTACCATAGGTGTTCCTCCATGCTTGTAAGTGCAGCATCATCAATAATCATAAGTCAAAGAAATGATTTGAGGAAGCCTTTAACATGTGAAGAACACCAATTTGTTCTCGTTGTGCTTGTGGTGAAATGTATCTCCAAACATGCAATACATAATGCAGCACGTCTAAGAACAGTTGTGCCTTTTAGAAACACACCTAAATCATTCAGCTTTAGCCCAATTAAAAATGAGAATAGTTTGAGTTTGCACGTCGGCTTCGTTTTGTGAAGCTGACACAAAAATTTTATTTCAGTGCCACTGAACTTTTTTTTGGGATCGTAAAATAAATGGATGTATTAACTGGAATATGCATTTACATCTTTAAATCTTCATAGATTAAGTATTTGTCTTTATGCACTCTTTGTTTGCCTGTATATTCCTCCGTTCCATACCACAAGGAGAAAACACTAGAGTAACAAAAAGGTTTGAAAGTGAGAGGAAAGAAAAAACAGAAGACTTTAAGAGTCCCTGCACAACAGTCTGATTGATTGTTGGTTGTGAAAGAGTTTTTGCTGTAGGGGCTTTAGTAAACAGTCACTCTCTGTCTTTATCCCTTTGTTTCTGCCTATTTTGTTTTATCCCTTATTGTCTTGTTGTGTTTTTCTGTTTTTATTTTTTGTTGGATTCTTTTATTGTCTCTTTCTTCAGACATATATTCTCTTCAGCCAGGCCTGTCTCTGTTTCCCTGCTAATCCTTTTCTTGTACTCTTAGATATTTTGAAAAAAAGCCCATAGAATTTAGGTGCAGTATCAGCACGAACAGTTGATTGATTGTCTTCTGTAATAGAATGTTTACCAAATTATTGTGTTTTTTGCCAGAGGTTATTTCTGTAAGAAATTCGTAAGACAAATGATGCTACACACAAACACAAAAAGATCCAAAAAGGAGGAAGTCAGAGAGTGAAAACAGAAGTATGCGAGAAGGGATTACAATCTCAGCATTCAGCAAGTGTGATGCATTTTCTTGAGGGCTGCAATATGAAGGTATTAAAATTGAAAGAGAGGTCTGATTCCAGTGGGGGGTTTCTGGAGTGTGGATTTAGCGAATTGTTTTACCTTCAGCTTGTTCTGAAGCCTTCAGTTGTTCCACAGGCCCACTCTGTAAAATGAGTGATCAAGTTCAGCACATTTCTCTAATCTACATTTCAAAAGCTCCACATGACTGCCAGTAGAGGGGGCTCATGATTAAAGACAAAGAAGTTATTTATGCTCGTGTCAACAGGCAAAAAAAAATTCCTGCCGAGCTGAGGATACCGGACGGGGCCAGTGAGCAGTGTTTAAATTTAGCCTCAATTCAAGTGGGCTTTGCCGTTTGCTTTAATGCTGTAATCAAATCAGTGTTTACGTCCATGGCAAAATCAATTATGTTAATTGAATTAGCAGAGAGTGAAAAGATACATCACTGTTTCCTGTTTGCCATATTTCTCCTCTGTTAACCCTGTAACGGAAAAAATATTTAGGTTTTTCATCTCATCAGAACGATTGCAGTTTTATAGTTAAACTTGTTTAAACTTAGACCTTTGAGTTTGCAACTGAATCTTATCTTTTCTAGGTGTATTTCAGGCATTTGAATGTAGCTAATGCTCACCCTCCAAGTACATTATCACTTAGTTTAATATTTCAAATAAATAATTGCATGAGTGTGGGAATTAATTGATTATTAGATGATTCATTATAATAACGCCACAGGCTATACTCCAATCCCTGGTCAAGACCAGTGGAAGTACAACACTGTATATATCTGAGACAGAATTTGTTGCAGTGAATAGTGGGTCTCAAATTACAGCTCATAATGCTTAGTCATCATGGCTCAGACCACTAGACATTGTCTGTACGTCAGAGGTGGTGTTAGTGAGAATATGCTGTCCTTAAACCTGAGTCCCATGAGGCAAGTAAAGAGGTGAGTCTCAGAGACATTCCGAGAAAGACAGACGGATAAACAGACGGACACAGAAAAAACTAGACAGACAGGGTGCCGCATTGAGTTTAGAGGTGTGAGGATGTTCGATAAGCCATTATCACTCCTCTTGGAGGACACCAGGCTCTTTCCCTTTTTTTCTTTTAGTCACCACTTTCTCACCAGGGCCATCCTTTCTCCTTTGTCTGTTTAATCTTTTGGAGCCAAACATTTGGTATGCAAGCTATAGGGAGATATGGGCTGACACAGACTGATGCGTGGCTAATGTCTGCTCTGTTTCATCCAATGACTCCTCATTTATCAGAAGCTCTAAAGCTTTTGTGCTCTATTGGCCCAACACAGCATTAAACATGGTGATCAGAATAGCCACAACATAGATAAGGAGCCTCAGTGACTATTGTATTCCTAGCAGCCACGATTTTTCTTCTTGTTAGCTTTCATTCTTGCTCTGTACGCTATCTACTCCATGTGCCTACTTTCTGTCTGTGCCTTTTGTTGAATTTATTCTGCCTTTTGTCTGTCTTGAATTTCTTGCTCTATGTTTCTGTCTCCTTCTTTCTCTCTCTTTCTCAGCAGATCCGTCCCTTGTTTTTACAGGAGAGTCGCTCTGCGCCATGCAAGGTCCATCTTCTGAGGCGCACTATCAGCGTTCCAGTGGAGACACAGTTTCCAGAATTCCACAGCCAGCTGTCCACTGAGAGCGGTGAGTAGCCTGAAGACATACCTCTGCAGATATCAGGATGCCTCACACTCACTCACACACACACACACACAGACACACACACACACACACACACACACACACACACACACACAGCCAGACACTGGGAATACTTAAATGGCTTTCTTGATTTTCATTTAATTAAATTAGAATGATTAATAGCCCAGAAATCAAATATTTAACGCTTGCTCAACATGGTTATAGACAAAATATTATTCATTATTAACACTCTGAGTCTGATGAGAAGTTCTCTTCTCATCTTTTGTGGCTCGGCTCTGGTTTTGCCTTTTTTATTCCACAATCTTCTATGTCCAAGGCTGCTAAATAACAACTCAAAGTCAAAATTACTTGTTCTGTACAAAGGTCAAATGGGCAAAGTAATTCAAATGCAAGCGGTCAAACAGTTAAATATGCAAGTGAGCTTTGTGTTGCTCACATGCCTGGGCAAACCTTTTTTCTGAGACTCTTTTCTTCTACGTTATAGCCACTAGATGGAGAGCTTGCTGCTTCATAGCACATCACTGCACTTATAATGCTTCATCCTAACCACTAAGACAGACATTGAAAAATGTTTTGGTGTCTTTCAACTGGCAGGTATCATGTTGCCCTTTACAGCAATGTAATGCCTGTAATATAACACCATTACTTTCTGGATGTGCCAGTGTGTGCACTTATGTCTACGGACAAGATGGAGCAGCTCAGTAAAAGCTAGTGTGGATGTGTCTGCAAGGATGAACACACAGAATCCGTCAAAATGAGACACTAGGTGGCACTGAGGTTTGACATTCAAGCGTTTGTATCCCACAGTTACCGTTGCTGGGTTGTTGGCTGGCATGCAACCTAATATGACCCACCTTTAAATCAGCGGGTTCAATGGTTGTTTAGTTGAAGTGCTATTTCATGATGTCATTTCAGTACAGTACAGAACATTAAGTGAAGGTTGTATTAAGCTTAGCAATTTCCTGTGGTGCTGTTGCCCTCTATCTATTGAGACAGTGTTATTGGACAGTGTTGTTGTATATTTTCTGGCTTACCAATGTTGTGTAAGCATTTTTTAACCAAGATTCTTGCCTGGTTCTTTGTGAGCACAGTGATTTTAGTGATGCTTTTATGTACTATTAATCACACTTTCTGCAGACCCTCTATGCCCAGGATTTGTCACAAAGGTTTGACAGTGATTTCTTTACCAGCCATTGACCATTAGAGGGAGCCATTTAGCTCTGTGTTAATAATGAAGCTATAACTTCACAGCACTTACAGCATTTACAGAGGTATTTCTTAATTGCTAAGTGTACACGATGGACTATATTTAGAAGAATATTCAGTTCTCAGGTCTCAGGTTTCTTTTAGTTAAATCAACAAGTCATGTTATTTGATACAACTTTGTTTTGGGCACTCGTCTCATTCCATCATATTCTATATCTCCCAAGTGGGATCGCATTCTTGTTGCGAGTAAGAGGGCCAGATGATGAGACGAGCAGAGATGTCCTTCTGTCTCCTCAAAGTTATGGCTGTTACCCAGCATTCTCTGCATAGAACATATTTGGCTTTAAAAATACAGGGACCTTTTTATTTTTGCTGTAAGTTCAGCACTGGATCTCACACACACACACACACACACACACACACACACACAACACACATCAGAAAAAAGCAGAGGAGAGTTTATTGTGCATCCCGTTTTGTAATCCATGTTCACTAATACAAGTGATGACATGATGATGAGAAAATGGCGCAAGACACATCATTATAATGCATCTATGATTGGGCTGACTTTGTTTATCTGAGAAGAGACGGAGGCTAAAAGAATAAGCACAGGCTGCCAGCTAGTTCACTAATTACAGGGTACCTTTGCAACTCTGCCAGTGACATTTGAAACTTTTCCATGATGATGATGTAAGATCATTTCTGAATTGCTGATTCAGATTTCCATAGTCAGGCTACATATTTCTGCATGTTAGCTAGAATACATTACAATACATTAATATATTACTGCAGTGGTTATTATGTCAGCCATTTAAATATCTAATAATCATAATAATGTCATACAAGCTGTTCTGTCACCTTTTAGCCAAATGAATATTCTACAATTTTATATTAACAAGGCATGAACCTGCTGTTGGGTTTGGATTTGAATTCACTGGTCACCAGAAATGAGAGATAACATATAGGAGCATTTAGAGGTCAGAAACAGCATTAAATGGCTACTGTTACAGAAATTCCATTTGCAAAAATATATCTGATAGGATAAAGTAATGTTGTTAATAAGAAAAGCATAACTAAGACCTTAAATGCACATTTTAAATGTATTTATGAATCACAAGAATAATGATTACAAGAATAAAATCACAGTTATCTTTTAAAGAGAGCAGCAATTACTTATAGAAGTATTAAGATAACCTCAAATAAGCACTAAATGTAAAGCTGTAAACTGATCAATATTGCCTTGAAATATTAAATATGTGTATTAGTGCCGTGGTGAGAGCTAGAGCTTTATTAAAACACACTCACTGGCAAAATACTATTTCACATGAACAAACACAAGTGTTTGCATCTTTAAATACCATATTGACAGAAGGGTTGTTGTTAAATTTATCCTCCAAAATCCAAACAGTATTACATGTTCTAGTCCCCTCTTCAGTTTCTAACCTTTAAAACTGCAGTTGTGCGCGCGTGCGTGAGCACCTGTACGGTTTTCAAATCAGGTTCTTCATCACTACAAACACTCACACGGTCTATGTTTTACTAAATTATTCATTGGCGTAGGCCCCACCTGCTCTTGTCCTTGTGTGACACACGCTCTAAATAAGCAGCGTGATGAATAAAAACTACACTTAGATGAATAGGAATCCACAGCAAATCAGAGAGCGCTCTCATCTCGTCTCATCCTCCGACTGAATAGTGAGCGGCTGCCTCTTCTGTTCTTTTGAACTCGACGAGGTTTTGGCACAAACATGCTAGAGACGGAGAGCGCTGCTACGCTTCCACCCGAACAACTACGCTTAATTTTTACTGAGGTCTAAGTTTTTTCTGGATGCTGCTTTGGAAAAAGTTCTCATCTCTCGGTTCTTTAAAGATGCTGGGGCATATGCTGCCCTATTTTCCAGTTTTTACTTTCTCCATAAATATTTTCACTGAAGCTGTAACACTTTAGATAGGATTAAATAGAACTGGATAACTGACCAAAGGGTGGAATGATTTTTGCATGCCTTGGAGCCCAAATACAGCCTCACATGGCGTTTAAGTATCTTAACATTCCAAAAGTCAACCTCTCTCCCCCGAGTTTATAATTACAATTAGCTATCATTATCCAGAATGGTATTTGTTGGATCTGAGCCTGTCACCCCAGTCTATCCTGCCAACACAGCACTAAATGATGGATTGTTTTGCCTATTCAATGTCTTGTCTTACAGTTTTTATAGATGAACTCAAAACATCTCAAATATGGGGAGCTATAATTTATCAAGATCCCTGGATAGTTGAGATTAAAATCATTTCAAGGTAATGGTTGGCTGGGCTCCATTTGACCGTATTATGCTGCTGAAAGGACAGGAGCGGCAGGAGTGGCATGTCTGCCAGTTGGACAATTGATGAACTAGAAATGGGTCAATATAAAGATGGGCAAAGTTAGAATTAACATATTAAACTACTGCCTGTCTTCAACCAATCTAACCAAACTTCCTTTGACAGCTTTTAAGTGATGGTTTTGGATCAGCATCTCAAGTGTAAGAATCTCTGGTTTGGGTTTTTTTTAAGACAAGGCATCACTTTGAGTTCTGCGAAATTGTGAAGAGTGCTGTTTTTTTTGCTTTTAAAGGACTAAACAATGTTTTAGTTGCTGCTAATGTTCTTGACGCACAAGCTATCGATTCAGGTCAGCTTAAGCATCTTGTGTTGTTTAGTGTGCCAAATTGAAATGAGAGTAGAAACAATGCCCAGCCAGCACAACTCGGTCAGGTTTTTGAGTCCACCCGTTGTTAACACCCAGGCTGCAGTACTACATAAGGTCCTTAATTCTCCTGGCATGTTAATGTTTTCCAAACTGATGTTACTAAGGTCTCGTTATGATGAGAAAAAAATATGCTGAGAGTATAAAATTGATCAAAGTGGAAACATTCAGCACTGCCACAACCCTCTCCACCCATATCTCTCTCTCTCTCTCTCTCTCTGTCTCTTTCTCTCTCTCTCCCTCTCTCTCTGCCACCACAATGTGGAAACTGCTGCTCTCTCTCTCCTCCCTCCTGTACTGTGCTCCGTTATTCTCTCTCTCTCTCTCTCTCTCTCTCTCTCTCTCTCTCTCTCTCTCTCTCTCTCTCTCTCTCTCTCTCTCCCCCCACTCTCCAGAGAGGGGCTCATTCAGACAGATGTAACACAGCAGTAGAAGCCTGAGCTGAGCTGGCAGGCTGCAGGGGCCAGACCAGAGCCAGCAGCTCTGACTGGAGAGAACAGCGGAGAACAGACGGCAGTGGCGGCGGCAGTAGAAATACAGCGGTAGTTGTAATAATAGTTTCAGTAGTCGTAGTCCAGTTACAGAGCCAGGTTTGCCTCAGGATATGGGTATGTTGATGTGGGCACTCATCACCCTGTGAATTTAACATGGACCCTGACACCAGCACCCATCCAGAGGCACAGCATGGTGAGTGAGATTTGAAGCAGCAGGGGTGGGAGGAAAAGATGAGAAACGATGGAAGCGATACTGTGGAAAAAGTTGAAGAGCATGTTGGTGAACAAGGGAGTCAGGTCACATGGTTTTCCCGTTAGCTTGCTACTATGACTAGGCTCTCCATTTGGCTCTTAAACTGTTGACTAGGGCCTCTGTGGTCAGATGAATAGGACTTCAGTCTGTTCTGTTGGGTAGAGAGTTAAGCGGTGAGGGGTGTTACATGGCAATGTGATGAAATCAACAGCCTGCTAATATAATTTTGCTCTAATGACTTGTACACCATCACTTAAACAGGGTTGTAAAGTTTCTGAAATAGTTG